GGACCACACTGCCCACTATCACACAATCCTCTTCTCTTCACATTGTTTGTCATATCTCCATCATTAGTGTGCCTTTATAAGAGTCCTGTTGTGCATTCCTTGTCCATGTATTGTTTTACAAAACCGTTTATGTTGATCCTCCTGTGTTTTGTGTATACGTGCATTCTCCTTGTTAATCATTCCTGTAAGTTGCTGCCACATGAGCTTTTTTCTTCTGTTTAGTAAAACTCTTTTACTTAACAGCTGAGTTCCCCAAGTCATTTGTCTAAACTAACTCACTGTGCTCTGCCCAACTGGGAATTTCTAATGTAGGAGGCTTTCCAGTTTATTAGGTGGGAAATTTCTCTTTCCCAGTACAACTAGACTGCCACAGAAATAGCTGGAAAAAATGCAGCTAAAAGAAGTTTTTTTGCTGCTTTTGAACCATTTGCTATAATTTTTCCTTCATCTTTTAATCCTCTCTTATACCTAAAGCATAACTTACCCAGCCATTCACAGCCATAAAGCTCCACTCTCATGCAGACATTCATGGAGTGGTCTATAACAGGCATGAAGCGAACCAAGCGAGCAATAATGGGTGGCTGCAGGTCCCTGAGAGCAACATCATAGGTGTTCCTGTTCCCCTCAATCACCTACAAGACAAACATACATCATGCCACAACAAAGAGCAACAACTGGACAAATAAATCCTTTAAATGCAGTTTATTCTTATTAGACATTGTTTGGACGGGTGAAAATAGGTTATAGTTTGATCAAACATTGTTGTCTAGTCATCACAGACAGTATTACCTGCTTTCCCTGCCCATTTTTCCATGAGATCCAACGACTGCCATCCCGGCTGTACTTGATCTTGTACATCTGGGCAAACTCATTACCCATTCCTCCAGCATGGCGACCCTGGGTGCCCACAAGGGTGATAAAGTGGAGTGATTGCAGGTCAACCTGGAGGAACTCCTTCAGATGATCTGGTTCCACTGTTATCTCTGGACACCAGGCACCATCACCCTCCTCACAGTCCAGTCTTTTTTGTGAGGGGACATAATGAAGATGAAGGAAGAAAGAATTAGTGAAGTGTTCTTTTATGTGACCAAATAAAATTAATCATTCATTCATTATTGTTAGATGTACCTGCTGTATCTAGCAGCTGTGGATTCAGACCACTGGCTCGATGCAGAGATGTCCTCATCTGGTATCTGCCCACTTGACATCCCCAGAGCATACCGACACACACCTGAGACACAAATGTGTTATAAAAAGACTGTGTGAGAGTGGAGAAACCAAGCAAGCACACAGCAAAGGTTGGAGAAATCTTTAAATAAAACCACCACATTTTAATTTGTCTCAAATTTTTTCAAGTAGGAAGGTATTGTTTACACACATACTGTATTTGAATGCTGTATAAAAAAATAACCTTTTTGATATTTTGGATAAGAACAGAATTACACTTTCTGATTCAGTCAGAAAACGAACCTTTTGTTCCACAAACCAATGTGTTCTCAAGAGGTCTTCTCAAAATTTAAATTTACATTAAACACATCCCTGAACCAACAGTAAGACACAGACCAACATTAATGCCTTGTACTAGTGCTGGGTGATATGACCAAAATTTTATATCACRATATTTTTTATTAATAGAGATGTGACAGTATTGGATGGGACAATGCACATTGCTGTATCGTTGGCCAGTGCTTTTTTCTTTTTCTTTTTTATTCTGATTCACCCTCTCTCTCACCATTTTACAAGCAGCAGGCGTGTGACATAAAGACTCAAAATAACAAAGGAGTGGGTGAGGGGTTTGTCTGTATTCCCCCCATAGATAGTTCCCACACATTATTGCAAAATCCATACAAGGTGGAAAAAGGCAAAATGTGTACAAATTAGAACTTGCTTCCAACAGTTACGCCCATCGACAATTGTAAAAACCGCATTTATTCATGTATAATACGATCTCATGTATAAAACAGCCCCCCCTTTTTTTGAGCTTAAAAAGCATAAAAAATTTAATCCTCAAACTACCTCCAATTTCATNTTATTTTATTTTATTTATTGTATCGTTCTGCAGGCTCTGAGAGAAAATTAATTTGAAGCTGAGTTCTTAATAAAAATCGTTACATTACTCTAAATGTCTGTAAACCTGCAAAATGAGGGAAAATCTGTCTGTAGTTGCGTTTCCATTACAAATGTGCGCAAAACTTTGTTGATATTGTTAATGTCGAAAAACACAGTTTCGCAACTGTGGTGATTCCATTAAGTAAGAAATGCTATTAAAGTCATGCGTGAAATATGTTTGTTCTCATGATAAGTCATTACAAACATGGCAGCGATGGATGTAAACACATAGCATGTTGCTACCACGACACTAGCGCTCATCATCAGAGGAGACGTCGGCGTCTTTTATCGAGGCTTTCCAGAGACAAGTCCCTACTTGGGAGCGGCTACGTATGCTGTGTTTTTGGGGAATTGTAGTCGCTGAGTTTACTATTTTATACTACTTCTATGATATTACTACTACTTCCTGTTCACCAGAAGAAACAGCCGGTTGTTGATCACGTGACCCCCGTGATGCGAAAAAAGTGTTTCCATTGCAGTTTTGTGAAAAACACCAATTTCGATACGGCTGAAAAACCACCTCATCCTAGCACAAAAACATTTAGTCGAAAAACATAATTTTTATTTCGAAATTGACGTGTTTCCGTTGAGCAAAGTTATTTTCGAAATTCTAATTTGCGCATTTCATGGTCAATGGAAACGCAGCTAATTACAGACAATCTGTTCACGTGAGCAGCTGTCAGTCAGCACCTGTCATCCTCCAGAGACACGACGGAGCGTGTCTGAACCAATCACTGATCATCTTACAGATTTAAATACATCTTAACATTCATGAGGTACTTTACATTGACTGTTTATGGTTGAGTGTGGGCGTGTAGAGGGTAGAACCTGAGGCGGGACCTTGAGCGCAAACTCTGAGGTGAAGCTGTGATCGGTGAAGGAAAGGTGCGTAGAAACATGCGTATGCACGGTTTTACAAATCAGAATATTTTTTTTGGCATACCCCATTTTCGCCTTTTTGCCGTACATTCACATTTAGTATGGTTTCCATGCAATCTTTTATAAATCTGACCCCTGGACTGTATTTCAGCTACTCCTACATGTGTGAAAGGGACAGCACAACTAAACATGAATGAGGYCTTGCTCAGGATTGAGGGAAGATATTCAAGCAGTGTTTGTTTTATAGTCTCCGTCAGTGTACCCCTTTTTCTTCTTCTCCTGTGTCCTCAGTCTCACTCTGCGAGTTTAGACTCAAGGCTCACCCTCTCTTGAACGTCTGCTTTTAACATCTGCATTTGATATGCTTCCACCCCCATCCCCCGCCTCTTGAGTTGCCAATACACAGCGTTTCCTTGCAAAAAGAAATCCTGATGGTGTCCAGCTCAGGGAACTGTTAGTTGTTGGGTGGATGCCGTTGCTCCCAGACAGTCTCTTAGGGGTTATTGTGTGGAGGAGGTGCTCTTCTGATCATATCCCAAGTCGGACTCAGACAGACTGGCACAGCCGGGTTAGAAACCAGGCAGGCTCACACAACATTTTTCCTACGGTTATGTCATTGTCCCTGGCCCCTGGACATCCTGCAGGGGCCAAAGGAAGGGATAGTATGTGTGGTCTCCTCCTTTAACTCATCACTGAGGACAACAACTCAGGAAACAAACCAAGTCCTGCCTGGTTTTTGGATTAAAACAAACAATGGTTTGTAATTTGTTGTAATCTTTCAGTTTTTCAAGTTCCAAAGATACCACACGTCTTTTTAATGAAGTCTACTGAAAACACTTGCGCTTCCACAGCTGCTTCTACTTTGTACAACTGGTTTTAACAGGGAGTGTTTCACAGCTTTTTAACAGAAAATCAACAAGTCACAATCCTTAACTTGTTTGCMAAGTCAAAACAACCCATAAATGTGATTATTAATAATTTTTGTCCACGACCTTCTGTAAGTTGAATTACCTTGTGGGTCGTTTGTTTTAGTTATTTGTTTTCATCATTTGGTAGTAGCTAGTTTCCTTTGTGTTTGGCATTTTTACAGAAAAATAATGCTGCATTGTTGAGTGGTTTCCTAGTCTGTTGAAACTTGTTTTACATACTTTGATGTGTGATTTTCTGGTTTTATTGACCATCTTTATTATTATACCAGCACCATAAATGTCCTTTTTGAAGCTTAGTTATTCTGCATGACCATGTAGGAAAGGAAACGTTTCTGTGTAAAAACATTTCACTAAATTTATCCTGTTTGCTTTTGTAGTCTTTCATCAGTCTTTGAACCTTTTCTTCATTCTTTTATTCTCTTYTTCCTCGTCTGCTTTCCTCTGCTGTCACATCCTTGTCTCTGCCKCCTTTCCATTTCCCACTGCCTGACCTCAGACAGGACTGCTAAATACATTAGTGATGTGTGTATGTACAGAAAGCCTTGTGGCTCAGCACTTAATCTGCATTTCATCAATTGTTTTCAGGAGTTGTCGAGCTGCGGCTGGAACAAGAAGGAGAAGCACAGCTCTGCTCCAAACGTTGTGGCCTTCACCCGCAGATTCAATCAGGTGAGTCTCAAAGTTCAGTGCAATCTCCAAAGGAACGAAGAACAGTTCCTCCTGCAGTCTTCTAGATTTATTGAGATATGAAGAGAYGACAGCTCTTCAATAACTTCACTCATTTCTGCCTCCATCTTCCAACTTTCAAATCATCACACTCTCCCAGATGTGGTTGTTTTTTTTGAAGCTGTGTTTATCGTGGCAGCCCCTAATATTTGCTGTCTTCTTGTGGGCTATATATTTTATAAGTAGTTCCCATGTGAAACACCAACTTCCCTCCCCTTTTTGTTTCTCTTAAGCCACTCATGGCTTTTGGCATCTATACGTTTCTTCTTTATGTCTGTGTTGATGTGTGTTTGCTTGTTTTCAGTGCATTGTGACATCCACAGGAAGTTTGGGGTATGTGGCCATGCCCTTCAGTTCAGTCATTGCTTTTGCTTTGAAGGCCCACTTCGCCTCCCTAAAGCATAYTATGAGATGATCCAACAAGAATGTGTTGCTGTGGAAATTTCTTCGTGCATTGCAGATCCTGAACGATGATTYGAAATGCTTGCTGCACACGTTCAGCTGCTGTGATCCATGGAAAATGAGCTTTTTGGACAAAACAGAGTTAGCCTGCCAGGGCAGAGACTCCCAGAAAGCCCCTTCACATGAGCTGAAGCTCTATTCTTCTTTCCTTCATTACTGGTTTTGTTGTTGCTCTGTTTCAGGAGCTAATAACAATCAATCAAATAAATAAACAGTTGTCAAGTCAGTCTAACTTTGACACATCAAGTTGTAGTTATTTTTATTGAAGAGCTTGTGGTTTTAGCCAAATGACAGCACTGTGTTTAGATCCTGTCTGTTTTTTCTATAAACCTAATGAAAGTATCCAGGATCAGATCCAATTGCACCAGTTAGTTCTCAGATTTAAATTGTCATCTCTTCTATTGTGCTTTTTTGAGATCCTTTTGGTTAAATTTGTCTGATTTCACTAATTTAAAGTTATGAAAAATCTGGGGCCTTGATACACCCTTAAAACTGGCCCATAGAAATTATACTTTAGAACATAACACTAGCTGTGTTTCCATTVACCATGAAAATGCGCAAATTAGAATTTCGAAAATAAATTTGCTCAAATGAAACACATCAATTTCGAAATTTTTTTTTACTTTTTTCGACAAAATGTTTTTGCRCTAGGATGAGGTGGTTTTTCAGCCGTATCGAAATTGGTG